TTTTTTTGCTTATGTGGTGCTGAGGAATCGAACCCAGGGCCTCATGCATGCAAGGCAAGCACTCTACCACTGAGCCACCTTCCCAGCTCTTTGGCTCAGATTTCTTTTGCATCTTACCCCTACGTGGACCCCTCCTTCCTTGCCCAAACTGGGTCTCCATGGTAGTGTTTGGGGACATGCCTCAGTGAGCAAGAAACCATAAGGCCTGCATGGTTTCATGAGGCAGAAGTTTTTCCACCCATCCTGACCTTGCTTCTGTGCAGTGGCCACCCCAGCAGGTCCCACTGCTGGCTGACCTAGGAAACCAAGTTAATACATGGCTGCCTTCTGCATTCGCCCACCCGCCAAGCCATGGGTTTGAACCTGGCCCCACCCTGGCTCTTCCCCTACTGCCAGCTTTGCCCCTGTGTTTCAGCCCTTGCCCTGCATGGAGACCCCCAAGGGGACCTTTGTGGCCTCCTTGGGACCTCTTACTTGTGAGCACTTCCTGCCAGGCTCATGGCTGGGCTGGAGAAAGCCCTATGTCCACACCCTGGGGGGGTCTCCTGGTCATCTCCTGATGACTTCTGGAGACCCTGCTTTATGCAACTTCTGAGGTTTAATAGCCTTGCACCCTCAAAGCCAGGGACTGGAGACATGGCCGGGTCTCAGCCCACTGCCTCTCCCCACCACACTGTCAGCTGAGTTCACCCAGGGTGAGCAGGGGTACAGGTGGTTCCATGGGTCAAGATGGGGGTCAGGCTCCTCATGGCACCCCTGTGTGATCTAGACAGGACCACAGAGGAGGGGCTGCTGCCTCCTGCAGCCACAGCGTCTTGGGGCCTGAGATCTCAGAGAGCCGTGTCTGGCTTCCTGGGATATTTTGGTTCTTGTCTCCATCCCCTGCATGGGGCCCTGAGTCTGAGCATGCGTGATTGGTTGTGGAGCTTCCCCCCCAGCAAAGCTGGTCAGGGTGAGGATCTGTTCACCATGAGGCCTGGCCTGGCTTCTCAGGATGGAGCCCAGCATCAGCTGTCAGGGCACCTGTGCCAGCAGGACCCTATCTAGCCACTCCTCCCCACCCCCCTGCCTCCCGGATCTCCTGCCACCGCGTCACATCGTGTTCCTGTGACACTGAGCTCTGGGCCACCCCAGGGCCATGCCCATAGCTCCTGCACAGACCCACTGTTAGGTGCTTCTCTGTGGCAGATACGGGATGGGGGTGACACGCAGGGTCTGCAGCTCCTGATGGCCCCTGGGCCTGGGTGACTCCTGCAGACACGCCTGGGCTTGTGAGGCCTGGTAGGCATGAGCAGCTCCCTGATGCCTCCTGTGGCCAGCCCTGCTCAGGCTTCTCCATCTCGGGTTCAGTTTCCAGGCTGAGAGGCCCGCGTTGAACGTCGTCATCTTCCCCCTGCTGCACGAGGGCCTGGCCGACGTCATCCGCGACGTGCCCATGGTGCACCTGGACGAGGTCACCTTGTTCAAGAGCAGAGTGGCTGAGGAGCCGCCAAACCTGTGGTGGTGACAGGCCCTCCGCCCTGCATTGGCCCTGGGGACATGTCACAGAGGACAGCATCTTCCTGGCATCCTGCAACCCCACCCTGGCCGCCTGATACCCCATTTCCTCTTGTGCTCCCCCACCCATGAAGTCTGGGGGATGACAGATGGGGGGTGGACGGCAGTGTGTCCCCTCCTTGCAGCCTCCATGTCCCTCAGCTCTAGTGACCATGGCCTCCTGCCACGGGGCTCTGGGTTACGATGGCCTGCTGGAGCAGGGGTTGGGGGAGGGTGGGGAAGCTGGGTCAGCCCCATGAGTCGGTGGCTGTGGATTGGAGTGTGCTCTTTTCCATCAAGACACATTTCTGGGAGGGTCTGCAGCCCAGTGGCACAAGGCCCTAAGTTTCATCCCAGCTCTACACACACACACACACACACACACACACACACACACTTTAACTCAGTCCCATCTCTGCCTTGTGCCTCGCTATAGGCCTGTGACTCTACCCCCATCCCCGCTGGGGACTAGAACAGCTGTTTGCCCATGGCTCCCTGGGACAAGGAGAGCTGGATGGCACCTTCCCTGGCCAAACCTAAGGCTCTGGGAGTGTCACACATGGCAGTGAAGGGGTGGGCGAGGGGGGGTTCAGCTCCCCAATGTGTCCCAGCACCACGATGCTGGGGAAGTGTGCACATTAGCATTTGTCAGAATAACCCCAGAGCAGAAGTAGGGGGCTGGGGCAAGGCACCACCGCTGGAGCTGGTGGCCTTAGCGAGGGAATTCCCAGGGGGCCGTGCGCAGGTCCAGTCCACGCAGACTTATACTCTGGTCCCCTTAGCCATGGCTCCCGCATGGGCAGTGTGCACTGTGGAGGCAGGGTCATTGCAGGGGGCCTCGCTCACAGCCAGTACCTCAGGGGCCATAGCAAAAGGGGTGCAACTCTTGGCCTGCTTGCCCCATCCCCCGTGCACTTCTGGTCAGCCCCTCCTGCCCTTCTGCTCCTTCGGTCTGTGTTTCTGTGTTGTCTCCATTGGCTTTTGATCTGAGGCTCTGCTCGTGGGTGCAGATGGCTCACAAGTACAAGGTCCCCCTCTTCTACCCTGGTTTTCTGCCTGCTGAGTCATGATTTTTCTGGGACACAGGATGCCCCCAGCTGCCCCAGCACCAGGGCCTTTGCCACCAGCCAGGGAGATCTGGAGCCCTCACCTCATGGTCCTCTGTGGCCCTCACGCTGCCTTTGGGAGCCACAGCCCTGTCCCATGCTTCCTGCTATTGCCAGCTGCAAGACAGGCATCCCGAGGGCCAGGCCAGGGTTCCCCACAGCTGGAAGATGGTGCACCATATCACCATCGCGATGGCAGGTCATTCTTTTATAGCTTTAAGCTGGTCCCTGAGGTCACTGTGTAAGTTCAGATCACTGGTCCCCAAAGTGAAGGTGTGGCTGGTTGCAGGCAGGGGTGCAGCCCAGGAGGGAGGCAGATGGATGGAAGGTTGCCTGGCAGCCCTGGCCTCTGCCCTTCTTTCCTTTTCAAGTTTATCCAAAGGGTGGATCTGTTGTTTCATTGGGCTCTGCCTGGTCTCCTGGGCTGTGCACCTCCTTAGGGAACAGCATCCCCCCACCCCCCCGCCCCAGTAGATCTTGTATGTGAGTGTTCCCTGCAACCATCCTTGGAATTAGAGTGAGAATTTCTGCTCCTTCCACACCCAAGATGGGATGCACCAGATGTTAATAACGTGCTTATTTTCGCTAAGTGCTATTTTGGCACCGGTGTGAGTTGCAATTTATAATCTGCTGCATTTTGTGCTGGAAATGGAACCCACCTTCATGGTCCCCAGTTGGCAGGACTGGGCTGTTAAAGGGCGAGCCATATGCTGCCTGCCCAGAAAGCCCAGTCATGTCACATGCCTGTGCCTGTGTATCTGAGTGCGTGCACATGCATGGAGCCCCATGCACCAGTGTGCATGCATGCACATGTGTACATGCGTGTGCATGTGCCTGTCTGAATGGGTTATATTTGCATGTGCATGCATGTGTTCAAGTGTGTGTTGGCATCCGTGTCGGTGTCTACATGTGTATGTGTGCACACTGACAACACCAGTGCCTGGGTGTGTGGACACATGCATGTACCCATGTTTGCATCTGTCATTTGTGTGTGTGTGTGTGTATGAGAAACTAGGGAAGCAGGAATGTGTTCCTTTGTAGAGAGGAGTCCTGGGGCCTCCACCCCGCCCTCTGGTCTGGCCACCTCTGGGCTTCTGACCTGCCCCATGAGGGATTCATGGTCCTCAGGCCCCAATCCTGCCATGGGTTGCCGTTCCTCATTTCCATGGTGAGAAGCCTTATTGTCCAGAATGAGGAGTGCATCTCACCTTCAGCAGTGGGGACAGGCCCTGCCCTGCCCATAAGCTGTCCTCAGAGTCCCTGCAGGGGTACGGGCCCATACTAGGCCCAGGTTTAATGAGGATTGTGCCCCACTGGGGGGGGGGGGTTAGCCACAGCTGCCTGTGTCCTCAGTGGCCCTGACCATGATGCTGTGGGTCTCCTACACTGCTCTCACCTGCCTCTGGGGTGCAGGGTTCCGATTGAAACTTCTAGAATCTAGTGGGTGTGATGAACGGACAAGTTTCCACAGGAATGAAGAGCAGCTGTGGGTCCAGCCCACCAATGGCATGTGGCTGACAGGAGTGGCCTGACGCTTGACATCACAGTGTCAGATGCCTGGTCAGGTCCATTCAAGGCTATAGGTTGGAGGAGCAAGGTGTGTATGTGGCATGTGTGTGTATGTGTGTGTATGTATGTGAGAGAGAGAGAATGTATATATGTGTGTGTGTATATATATATATATATATATATATATATATACACACACACACACACACATACGTATATATATGTGAGTGGCACTCAGCCTGCAGCCAGCCATGGCATCCCTCTCTAGCCTCTTTACTGTGACTCACAATGACTCTGCCTAGACCAGCCGGCCCCGGGGTGATGCCATATCTGGTGACCAGGTGCTAACTGACCACCCCTGCCTTTTGAGGCCTGGCCTCCCTGTCCCTGCCCTGTTGCGGGATCGTGTGGGCAGTGGTCCCCTCCCAGTGACCCCCCCCATCCCCAAATTGGATGTCCTCTGACAGCTACATCCTGGGTGGGTATTCTCATGTATATTTGTGGCATGTGGGAAATGTCAAATAAAGGGTGTGATTTAGAAAGCCAGGCAGCTGAGTGGTCCTTCCTGCCTTGACCTTTCCCCTTGGGTCCTCTCCCTGGGCCTAAGATGGGTGGCAGGTGCTTTGCTTGGGGGCTGAGGGCCCAAAATGTGGGGATGGAGGCCTGAGATCCAGACTGTGACCAGATGCCCCCAGGGCAGTGGGGACATCTGTGACAGCTGAGTGAGCTATGGCAAGGTGGGTGGGTGGGAAGAGCCTGGGTGTCAAGGCTGGGCTGGAGGTAAGGGCATGTGGAGGCTGGGCCAGTGGTGCTGGCTGTGCACTGCCCAAGCACTCCATGTGGCTTGGAGACAGTGTGGTCACAGGCTGAAGGCAGATAGGGCTGAGCCAGCTGCCCCTGCCATACCTACATTGAACATGTGGAGCTATATTTTACCGTGTGTGTGTGTGTGTGTGTGTGTGTGTGTGGTGCTGGTCTTGGGATTTGAACTTGGCCTGGGTGCTATCCCTGAGCTATTTTTGCTCTAAGGCTAGCACTCTACTACTTGAGCCACAGCACCACTTCTGGTTAGTTATAGATATATAAAGAGTCTTGTGGACTTTCCTGCCTGGTCTGGCTTCAAACCACAATCCTCGGGGCTGGGAAGGGCTCATGGTAGAGTGCTTGCCTTGCTTGGGTTCAATTCCTCAGCACTACATAAGCAGAAAAAGCTGGAAGTGGTACTGTGGCTTAAGTGGTAGAGCGCTAGCCTTGAGCTGAAGAGCTGAGGGACAGTGCCCAGGCTGAGTTCAGACCCCACGACTGACAAAAACAAACAAAAAAACCCACACTCCTCAAATTTCAGCCTTCTGAGTAGCTAGGGTTACAGGTGTGAGCCACTGGCACTTGGCTATTTTTATATCCTCACCATTTTGGTTGAGTAACTGGGTGGATGCCTGTGTTATGATGTCCTTATTTCAGAGGCACACCACTGACTGTCTTTAGGGATGGGGAAGAGAAGGCAGGTGGAGAAACAGCCATGAAATACACCCAGTGCTGCTTTGTGACCAGATGTCCCAAGGTCACAATGCAAGACAGCATTCCATGACACTCTGGCTGCCTTTGCCTTGGCTCTGGATCCCCAATTGGCAGTGACCCGATAGTTACAATATGGAGTCTTCTAGAAGCATCCTTACTCATGCATCTGGTGGTGGATATTTACGACTGTGACTTTGTCTGTGGCTGGAACACCTCACATTGCTTCTCCATGCAGCGCTCATGTTTCCTTGCAGCATGCATCCTAAGAAAGCCCAGAGGACACACTGTAGCCTTGCGTGTCACCCAGAAGAAGGGCAAGTCCCAGGATTTGCCACATTCATGACAAGAGGGTGACAGCCCACCATCCAGGAGATGTGTTGAGCTCTCATTTCAAAACTGTATGGAGTGTGCGGCAGTGCTGCACCATCTTTGTATGTGTTGTGTGTCGGTCCTGGGGCTTGAACTCAGGGCCTGGGTACTGTCTGTCCCTAAGCTTTTATGCTCAAGGCTAGTACTCTACCATGTGAGCCACAGCTCCACTTCTACCTTTTTGTGGTTAATTGGCGATAAGGATGTCACAGACTGTCCTGCCTGGGCTGGTTTCAAACCCTGATTCTTAGAATCTCAGCCTCCTGAGTAGCTACAATTACAGGCATGAGCCACCAGCACCCAGCTGTATTGGCTTTTGAAATGCCCCAACCATCAGCACTGGCTTTTGTACTCCATGAAGATGTCTTATTGTTGTTGTTCTCTTTTGTTTGTTTGTTTTGTTTTGTTTTTTTGGTCATTTGTGGGGCTTGGACTCTGGGCTTGGGCGTTGTCCTTGTGCTGTTCAGCTCAAGGCAAGCATTCTACCACTTGAGCCACAGCGCCACTTCGGTTTTCTAGTAGTTTAATGGAGATAAGAGTCTCACGGACTTTCCTGCCGGGGCTGGCTTTGAACCAGGATCCTCAGATCTCAGCCTCCTGAATAGCTAGGATTACAGGCATTAACCACTGGTGCCCGGGATTTGTTTGTTTTTTTATTTTATTTATTTATTTATTTATTTATTTTGGGTCCGGTCGTGGG